GTTGCCCAATCATTGAACTGTCGGGTCTCACTCGGTAAACGTACACAACGGCATCTGACGTCAGGTGTCAGGATTGTAGCATTATTTTTATTTTGCGTATCCTCGCACGAAGGGAGAAAATATTAACGAAGAAGAAAGATTGCTGAGACAAAAGAAAATCTCGTGGGACCTTTTGCGATAGCTAGTGCTCTGCAGCGAAGTTGTTCTAATTGGACCGCGTTAAACAGAAAGGAACCAAGCCACATCAGCTATTGCCAAATTTAATTGGACGAATTACTTTTTTACATGAAAACGGTTGGCCGGATTTTCGTGTAAATTTCAGTGAATTTTCTCCACAGTACGACGCAAATTCTTTAAACTTTTCAAAGGAATCCGCAAAAACTTTCTCTCGTAAAAAATTGACTTGCCCAGTTAAATTTGGCTACAGCTGATGTGGCTTGGTTCCTTTCTGTTAAACGCGGTCCAATTAACCTACGTTTGATCAGTTTTCGATGAGCTGTCGCGTCGTTGTCTCGATCGGGTCTTTTACACTGCCATGCTGAAGAAGAACGCCGTATGAGCCCTTAGACGTCGCCAAATTTCCTTTGATAAAAAACGAATTTTTTTTTTAGGAAGCCCGTGAATATTTTCCCACCAATTTTCCGAAAAAATTTGCTCGCAATTAAATATAAATTATTGGAAAATTTCAAGAGCTAATGTTCCCGAACATCCTCAAAAATATATATTTTAGCGCAGGAAATTTGGCAACTTCCAAATGTTCATACGGCGTTTTTTCTTGACCACGGTTGCACGCCGCGCCGCTCCTTTCCACGCTTCTTTTGTCATGTCTCACAATCGTTTAATTATGAGTCACCGGTGCGTAGCGAAGCCTTGCCATTGCCGTGCCGGGCGAACACTGCATCATGTTTTATTACTTGTATACGGAGCATTAAAAATTATTCAAACTGATTCGGCAACAGAGAAAAGAGTTTGACGGTGCGACCCGCGTCGGATCAGACAATCAGATTCTTTTCGAAGACTGATTGTGTCTCCCACTCATTATGTTACGCTGCTTCACTGCTGTGCTAAGGAAAAACGCCGTATGAACACTCTGATGTTGCTAAATTTCCTCCCTGAAGAGAAAAACATATTTTTCAGGAAAGTTATGACGTTATGAGTACTTTTCATTGACATTCTCAGACAGTTTGGATAAAATTACGAACATAATTATATGGAAATTCGAGGAGAAATTCCAACAAATTGTCGCGAAAATCCGTGATTTGTCAGAGGAGGTTTGGCAACGTCTAAAGGCTCATACGGCGTTTTTCCTTGGCACGGCAGTACAGTCACCCGGTTCATGCACCCTTGCTCTTGACTCTTTACTCCTGCCTGACCTTGATTGGCCGCTGACATTGACCACGAAATATTGAATTGAGATCGCGGAAAGCGATTTTCCTCAGCTTGACGACCGTACCGACTTCGATTTTCACTGCATGGCATTGTTGTTCAAGATCGACCTCTTCCTTCCGCATATGGGAATAATAAGGAAGGTCTCCGAGCCATGTTAGTGCCCAACCCTCGTAAAATAATGAAATTCGGCCGAGTAGAGCTCCAAAAATAACTCGGACTCGATATGAAAATTTGAAAAGTCCCAGAGTTTAAAGTAGGGTGATCCAAAAGTCCCTTCCACCCCCTCTCACTTTTTACCCAATCGCGATAAAGATATGGAACTTGAGGTATATTCCTGGGTCAAATAGAACTTTTTTTCTAAATTTTGAATTCTACTTTTAAAAATTATAGGAGAACCAAAAATAGCTCCCTTTGACCTAGGAACATTCCTTAATTTTTAAATCCTTACATGAATTGGGTAAAAAATTAGAGGGGGTAGAAGGGACTTTTGAATCATCTCTGTCTTCATTAGTTCTAATGAAAGAACTGCTTGAAAATTTTTGGCTTACGATTTTATCTTTCTACGGTTCGCAATTTCTTCGTGAATTGAACTTGTCTACGCTACCTTCAAGCCGCGGATGAGGGATTGACACCCGTTTGACAATTTTTCCATTTTATCAACTACGAGAACTTAAATGCCGGGTAGTTTTTCTCTTCTTTTTTTTCTTTTCCCTACAGAAAGGGCCCCTTGCAAACCTGAAATTTCTCTCTTTTCTAGGACTCTTAATTGGCACCCAAGAAAACACTCTGGTATGAATTTAATTTCAACATCGATATTTTGATGTTCGCCAAAAATATATTTCGTCTCTTTCCTTTACTCGAACCTCTACCTTCTGTTTTTCCAGTGATAAAATCCACTGAGCAACTAGATTAGGTTTCATCGTGATTAAAAATGACTCTCGCGGAGGAGAATGAGTGTGTCTGCTTAAAAAATGAACTGCAATGCTTTTTTTTTTTACATTCGATTTCATCTTGAAGAGAGTCGGTCATAGGAAAGTCGTTCCGTTTTGTCGTCCAGTCTAATTGATTCGTCCTAATTAGAGAAGACGATGTTCAACGTCTGGATAATTTTAGTAACGTCATTCTCGTCGACTGCGCTACGCTACGCGGTATTGAATGCGCTTCCATTCGAGTGTTACTCGCGAGGCGATATTCTTCTCGGGGAAGTATCATTACGTAACGTAAGGAAGCGCATAAAAGCAGACGAAAGTTTAAGGTCGCCATCAAACAAAGCATGGAAGAAGGTATCAAGCAGATCATAAAATAAGCATTAACAGAGTATCTGAAAATTTACTTGTGCTTGTGAAAAGTACTGAAATTTAATTTGGGATTTTCTTGATATTTTTCGGATATTCTAAACGGAATTTCCTGATTTTTCCCGCGAATAAATTGGCACTTGTTTGATTTAAAACATCAAATTATTTGATTCATCGAGTCAAGTGATAGAGAGATACTTAAAGCGCTCAAAATTTCCTGATCCATGGCCGATTTTCCTGATTTTTCCGGATAACGTCGAATTCCCTGTTATTTTCCAGTTTTTTTAGTTTTTACTGGTAGTATAAAACACTCTGGTAAAGCAAAACATCGAACAGTGTAGATCTCGTTTTTTCCCCTTAATGCTAAGATTTTCAAGTCACTTTCCCCCAGACAGTTCTATGTTGCCAGACCAATGAACATCCTGATTTTCCTTTCTAAAATTTCCATTGGTTCAACATGACTTATAAAATTAGTCGTATAGAATACGCCTTTTAACGCTCTGACTAGCTCCCTTCCTCTTACTACTTCGGGGGAAAAAAGTCCCCGATTTTCTTGAAAAACACCCCTAAAACTCCCAATTTTGGTTTTTAAATACTGGTAGACACCCTGTTAGGGTTAGAGTACCTTTATAGACAGAGTATGGCCATTCGTATCTTTTTACTACAGGAAAACTGTTCCGCTTTTTGATTGGTCCACGAGTTTTTAGGCTTCATGATGCTCTTAGGGCCGTAAATAAACAAACAAAATGGCTGCTCACCTTAACATCGATAAGAAGCTAAATTTCACAAAAATCTCAATTATGCGGCAGTAACAATTTAAACTAGCACATCTACGAATGGCACACGAAAAATACACGAAAACATTGTTTAATCGCCTTTCACCTTTATCACAGGAGGATGTAAGATGTGCATAACCTCAATCTTGCTTGCTGATAACAGCCATCTTGTTTGTTTATGTACGGCCCTAAGAACATCGTGTCAGCCTATTTTCACGCGACCAATGAAAAACCGGAACAGAAATGGCCATACTCTGTCTATAAAGGTACTCTAGTTAGGGTACGGTCCACTGATCGGACGATGCAAGTAGGGCCGGCATCAGAGGACGCTATCGCTGGTGTAAGGTGTTGCGAGACAGCGAGAGCAAGAGCGGCTCGACGCGACGGATTCGACGTCTCTACAAAACGCTATCGGAAACGTTATGAGGCATCAGCGCCGCACGTCCGCGTTCGTTTCGGTTTCGTCGACGTCGAGGCCGTCCTATCGTCTCTGGTCCTATCTGTAGTGGCATCATCTACGGCCGTCAGCTAACGGTCCCCTAAAACGCTGCCCATCAACCCATCTCGCACTTGGATACCGCTTGCCGGGCTCCCCTCTAATAACCCAATATCGCCTCCAATGGTATCTTCTTGGCAAAGTTGGAAGTTTTCGCTTTCAGGACTTCAACTTTCCACTGTTGACCTACCTACAAGGTGGATCCTTAACAACGTGTTGAGAGTTTCGTTTTGCAAACAAACCGAAGTTTGGGAAATTGGTTTCAGGATTGCCACAATCAGGGAGTACCGGGAAAACCGGATAAGGCCAAGGATTTTTTTTAAAAAAAGGGAGAATTTTTAATTCACCTTTGTTTGCTGCTTTGAATGGGTTTGGCGTTTTGAACAACGAAGGATACTATTCAAAATCGGCGTCAGATCGCCGTCAAAATCAGATGATCCTCTATCAGCCCCCAAAATATGACACGATTCCCCTTTTGCCTGAATACTATTTCAAATTACGTCTTCTTAACCACCTGGCATACCTGCAATTGTCAGGGAATTTTACTCAAGTGTGATAGGGGCTTTCAGCTTCCAAATTCTTTGGCAATCCTGTCGTTTGGCTTATGAAGTCACCCGAAGCTCATAATCCACATAGTAGGTAAGATGACTGTTGCTCCCTTGTAATTGGACGTATTTCTATCAAACGGAACTAAGCGCCAAAGGGGGAGGGGAGGGAGAGGGGAGCTTGGATTGGCGGGTGTTGCGGAACGCGGTGCTCGTTCCGTCCCATGCTCGCAATGCTTTTCCATGGCGCTTAGTTCCGTTTGACAGAATGCGCTATCCGGGATTCAAAAATCCTCAAAAGGAACTCAAATTGGCGCTTAAACATTAATACGTCCAAGTGCCGTCAGGAAGTGTTGAATGGCCAAAAGTAAAAGCTTCCACCTGTCGGTAAGAAGTGAGTGGAGAGTTGCTTGTCTCTGGGGAGGTGTTGATTGTTTTCTTGGGTTTTCGTGGTGCATGAGCAAGGCCGCTGAGCGTCATCCCTGGTTTTGTGTTTCAGGCGACCCGATCAACTGCATCAACGACGGTGCCGTCCCCGGGCACGTGATAAACACGTATTGCTGGATCACGTACACGTTCACGCTGCCGCACCAGCAGGGGAAGCCGGTCGGCACCCACGTGGCCGCGCCCGGCGTCGGCGCCTACGTCGAGAACGAACACGACACCCGCTACCACGCTTACTACCAATGGGTTCCCTTCGTCCTCTTCTTCCAGGTAAGTCCCAACACCCGCATCCACTTAGAGTCCCACCATACTCAGAGTAAAGACTCACACCGCAATCACACGCTGAATGTGGGAGCTGAATGTGGCTTGAATGTGGAAGTCATCGGCCCGATGCCTGAATTTTGCGCGTGACGCGCAAAATTCAGCACCCAAGTAGCATGGATTGCAATTTCATTGCAATGGATTGTGAGTTGATTGCAATTTTTGCTTGTTGCCTATACGTTCATTTGAAGGCGCTTAAAAAGTTGCAATTTTATTGCAATAAGTTTGCAAGAAATGTAGATTATGCTTGTTGCCTAACCTTCTTTTTCAAGGCACTATAAAGACTGCAATTTTGGTGCAATCATGTTGTAACAAATTCACGCCATGTGCCTGGCATCCAATTCTCTAGTTGTTTTAAAGTTTTTTCGACTTAAATGTCTCACCTAACCCATATAGCCCAACATATTTTGAAAATATTGTCACCTTTATCAAAATATTTTCATGGCAATATTGTAATTAAAATATTTTCAAAATATTTTTAAAACATTTTAAAGGAATATTTTGAAAATGTTTACAAAAAATATTTTTAAAATAATTCAAAAATATTGCCTGTAAACATGCATGTTAAAAATATTCCTTAAGAAAGTTTTGAAAATATTTTAAAAATATTTTTTGAAAATATTTTTAAGTTCTCAAGTTAGTATGTGGTGTAATTTACACCGGTGTAAATTTAGTGTGAGTACCTATTACGTGATATCGAAAAAAAAAATCAGACAAAAAAAATATGAAAAAAATAAATAACACGAAAAAAATAAATAATAGGCAAAAGAAAGAAGCCTGAGAAAAACGGCGTTAATCAAATCTATGATGAATGTTGAGCCACGCACTGACGCAATGCATGCGATAACAGCCTTAACAGGCGTGATTTCAACCCAACTCATCATCAGCTCCCTGTAGCTCAGTGGAAGAGTGCTCCGCTACGACATTCGCGGGTCGGGTTCAAGCCCACTCAAGGGCGTCCGGTATTTTATGCTGCTAAACGTCGTAGGACATTAGGTAAGCATGGGTTCGAATTATTATAATTTCCCCGGAAAATTTAGGGGTTGAAATTTAAAGGTCGTCAATATTGAAATTTCTTTGCAAAAAAAAATTGCAACTTTTTTACAATGAGGGGGTCAGATGTTGTAAAATAATTGCAATTTTCTTGCAAGAAAGTTGAAATCATCTGGAAATTTTATTTCATTTAAATTGCAATTTTTTCGTTGCAAAATGCTACTTGGGCAACGATTCTCAGCAACCATCGGACCAATTTTGAATTTGTCTGAACTATTCGAGTAGATTTGATACACATCTGGATGAAAATAAGTCGAATTTGCTAAATTTCAGCCGTTGGGCGATGACTGTTGACTTCCACATTCAGGTGCTAAATTCAGTGTCTGATTGCGGCACAATACCAGATTTCCTTTCATAAAAACCGAATTATCTGGCAGGGTGTCAGCCAATTAAAAAAAACCAAAATTGGGGACTTTCGGGGACGTCTAGGGGTGCTTTTTCAAGAAAATCGGGTATTTTTTCCCCGAGATAGTAGGAGGAAGGGAGCTAGTTAGAGCGTTAAAAGGCGTATTTCATACGACTAATTTTACAAGTCATGTTGAACCGATGAAAACATACGAAAAACCTAGGAACACTTCAGTTTATTTTATTCATGGTTATACCGCGCTGCCGCGGCTGGCGGGAAAATTTGAAAATGCCTGTGTTAAGGACGATTTTTGTCATTTTTTAGGGACCTGAACAAGAAAATTGGGGTCTTTTGGGGACCGGTAGACACCCTGACTGGGAATATTTGGAATATTCCGCTTCAAAATTTCCAGAAAATTGTGTTCGCAATTTGATCTAAAATATCTGAACATTTCAAGGAACACTATGAATTGCTTTCTTCGAAAATACATGTTTCATCCACGGAAATTCCTTAGCACGGCGGAATAGTTAGTTGAGATTTCACAGAAACCGATATCAATCCCTAAGAGAATTCTATCATGTACTGACGCACCAGTAGACCCATGGTTTTCCGAAAATTTGATTCCTTTTTGGTAGTTTATTGGCGCTCAAGGCATTGTTCAAATCGTTATCCAGCACAGTGCTAAGCAGTACCTACGTAAAAATAGCATTAAGGTGACGGAATACAGCGACCAGTTTTCATCTGAGTTGGTTCTTTCTTAAGAAAGAGCTTGAACGCCTTTTAGAATTTCATCGAATTTTATGGTGAATGAATCGTTGAAAGCTCGAGGATAAAAATTTGGGAAGAATGAACTTGGAAGAGCGCACGTCTGACCATAGGTACCACAGCAGGGAGCAGAGCCGTAGATTTTGTCAAGAGGGCAAAAAATACATGCACGCCCCCCTCCCCCCAGGATTTTTTCTGTGGACACTTATGAGCTGACGTGGCTATTTTCAAAATAATTAGTATTCAAGTTCCGAAAAATATCAACATAGTTCTACCATCCAAATTTCTGACACTTCGAGCGAGTAACCATTTGGTTGAGAAAAATTGAGTTTGTCTTCCTAAAACACCTGCACTCTTGCTTGTGGTGATTATAGATAAATATGGATACATGACATTTGTATGGGAAAGAAAATTATGAAAAATCATCAGTGACTGCTTTAAGTTCTTCAGATAGAAATGATACGAATACTGAGTGCTTGTAAGATGACCTAGAGCCATGCGGCTGAACTGATTTTGAAAAATTTAATTTTCAGGGTATCCTGTTCTACATTCCTCACTGGATTTGGAAAAATTGGGAGGAGGGCAAAATCAGGATGATCACAGATGGTATGCGTGGTTCCATTGTTGGGCATCATGAGGACATGCGAGATCGACAAAGACGCTTGGTTCAATATGTCATCGACACTTTACACATGCACAACGTCTACGCAACTGGATATTTCTTAGCTGAAGTCCTAAACTTCATTAATGTGGTGAGTGTTTTTACTTGATAATGATCATATATGTATACATGCTTATTCCTCACATTTGCACACAGGGAAGTAAATTGTTGTAAAGGAAAAATGACAATGGGTATAAATGTATTTTCGCCCAATTAGATCTCTCAGAGATGTTAATTTGGAGCTTGACTGGTGGGCAGGAAGTGAAGTGGGTACATTGCGAAGTGAGAAATCACAGCTGTAAATCTTAGAAAGTTGTAAACTTTCAATTGATTTAACCAATGCCCTTAATTTAATTCACCCAGCAAGAATTTTCATTAATTTTATTCATCCTCTACTTTTTTCAAAGATTGATAGAGGGAACTTTCTCAGTCTGAATGAATATCTCGGCTTATCAACTCTCTGATGTTAATTTTGCAGATTATGAACATGTTCTTGATTGATGCGTTTCTGGGCGGCGCTTTCTTCACCTATGGTACTGATGTCATTAAGTTCTCAAGCATGGATCAAGAGAATCGAACTGACCCCATGGTTGCTGTTTTCCCTCGATTGACAAAGTGCACGTTCCACAAATATGGTTCTTCTGGATCGATCCAGAAACATGATGCCCTATGTGTTCTAGCTTTAAATATTCTCAATGAGAAAATTTACATTTTCTTGTGGTAAGTAATACTTTCTCAATATTAGTAGAAATGCATTACTAAGGTAAAAGGCAAAAAGAGATGATAAATGGATCTAAGGAAGAGGAAGAAAGATATCAGAAGGGAAGATGTATCATATAATTATTCAAATTTAAGTGATGTTATTAAGATCCAATGGGGTCAACGTTCCAGGCTTAAAAATGAGAGAGAGAAAAAAGAGGAAAATACGGTTTTCCTGCATTATCCAGATAAATCAATGATATTTATAGATTGTTTCTACTAACAAGTGAAATTTTGAAGGAATGATTCAAAACAATAAGAAGCAGGAGAACTAGAAACAACCCTAACAAGTTATGCTTTCATTTTCAGGTTTTGGTTCATTATTTTGGCTGTGATGTCTGCATTTGCCCTGGTGTACAGTTTTGCAGTTGTTACTTTACCATCAATTAGAGAAACTATTTTAATCCGACGATTCAGGTTTGGAACGCCTGCAGGAGTTTCTGCCCTCATTCGCAAAACTCAGGTAAGGAAAATTTACTTTGTAAGGAATGAAATTTAATGCAAATGCATAGATCACATAAGCACACCATGTTCACACAGAGAGAGAAAAATCTATGACAGGCAGGAGGGATTCTCCGGGGAGTAGAAAATGAATTAATGAACAGCTAATAAACTTGATGGCTTAACATGCTCAGTTTCAATGGTGAAACAAAAGTAAATAAAATTTGTCTAGCTTCCATCGAAACACTATAAGACAACAAGCAGACGAAGAAGTGAATAAAGGAAATTGGTTGGACACTCCTGAAATTTGAAACAGAGGCAATAATATCATCCAAGGTGGAAATTCACGAAATGAATCAGTGGGGTAAAATCTTGGAAGATGAAACGAGTAAAAGAAGCAAAGGATATTTGAGAAGAAAAGCGAGATAATTAAACTGATCTTTCGAAGATAGTCTAACAACTTTAGACCGAGTCTAACTAACAATTTTCTTTCAATACAAAATTGAAATTAAAGAACCAAAACATATAATAATCCCAAAAATGAATTTTTTCTTGTTTTAATTAGGTTGGTGATTTTCTCCTGCTTCATTTACTTGGTCAAAACATGAACATGATGTTCTTTGGAGAAGTTTTGGATGAGCTGAGTCGGAGACTGCATCTTGGGAACAACATTCCGACAGCACCGTCAACACTAGAACTTAGCCCGATATACCCTTCAGATAAACTCAAGCTTCATAAGGAAACTGAAGCCTAGTTGCAACATGTTTCACACAAATAAGTGCATTGTGATTACCTTCGGTCAAATTTTATTCGGTATTTTAATTTAATTATTTTTAAAATCTCTATGATGAAATTCCATAAAAATCTATGCTATCAAAAATCCCAAGATAAGACTTCCCTCCCAAACCTAATTCTAAAATTCAGTATAAGAGGAAACATTGAGGCGTTTTCTTTGCCAGCTTTTGAAATACATGCTGATAAAGTTTATATAGCTAGTGTTGATTGATCTGTCTTAGAAATGTAGGATATGAACAAAAGCTATGCATTTATGCCGGGATAAGCAATTAAGAATCTCAGTAATTAAGCTTGTTAATTCTCGAAAAATATGTAAAAAAACACTGGTACTTATGTTGTGAAAATCTTTAAAAGAATGGAGCAACCAGTTGAGAAAATAATACAATAATTTTTACTGATGTAGGAATGAGCGTGTTAAAATTTGATACCGTTTCATCAAATTTGTACAAATTGGCTGAGAGCTACAAATTCTTGGCAAATTTTATTGAGCATGTTGATTCTTGATTGAGACAGTAATTAAAAAGATTAATGGCAAAAAGGAAATTATTCAATTTAGAAAAATGGTAGAATTGTGACAAAAGCACTCTCAACCGATCTGAAAAACTTTCATTTGATTATAATTAAGAATCCCTGTTAAAAAAAATGAAAAAAAAAACAACAATTTTTTTTTGAGGGAAATGACATAGTATACGTTCAATAACACCCACACACGAAAGACCAAAAAAAAAAAACTGAAAAATTAAGTGATGATTAATACATTCCTGACGCTCATTATGATAAGAGTTGTTTTGTGCTATTAGCAAATAGTTAACGAAAGACTGTTTATTTTCTCGATGTAAAATGAGATGGAGATTACGGTGGAAATAATTTAGTGCTAAGTCATAGAATGCTCATATTCTGTAAGAAGTTATAATTAAATTATGTATTTTAATATAATTTTTAAGCACGAAATCAAATTGTATAAAGTATGTTCTTTTTTACTTTGATTCTTTTAAAACTTCCATTTTAGTTTATTTTAAGTTTAAGTCAATACTGTGACTAGGAATAATGCGGATCTTTAGTTGATAAATGTTTTCTCGATTTTGCGATCCTGTGAATAGGGATTTAAGTAAATGCCTTGTATAAATTTTAAACGATTAATTTTTATTTTTCTTTAAAAAAAGTGGTTCAAGTTGTTCGAAACTAACACTAGCACAAACTGAATTTATAATAAAATGATTTTTTTTTATACTTTGTTTTTCACTTGCTGTTAATTCTAGTCCCATAAAAATAGGAGAGCCTGAGTGTTCCTTATGTTCCTTGCACATTTATGAAAGCATATGGGAGGCATCAAATTTTAGATACGCACCGCAGATACTGCTAGGTTAGGGAAGTCAGATTAGACTTTTGATTCAAACAGATCGTTGTCATCATAATCCGCAGTTTTGCTAAAGAAAACTCTCGCTCTATGGTTGAGCTAACAATTATTGACTAAGAAAGGTGAATTCAATGATCCAAAAATTCTACAGCTGCAATTTTGCATTGAATATTTTGTGACAAACGAACTGCACAAGTATCAATCTCAAATATATGAGAGAATACATCTCAAATCAAATGTTAACACCACACAGCATTGGCTTGCAGTAACTGTGAGATTCAGTTGCCGTATAATGGGTACACTGAAAATTTTAATGGAATATATTTAAATCTCCTGGGTTGTCTTGCCTCTCGGCAAAACATCATTATTTGGTGTTTGGTTGTTCCCTATTTACTGAATACCAAAGAAACACTGAAAAGAAAAGGAAATAACGCCAGAGCAGGGCTGAAAAACAAAAATTCAAGACGAACACTGGACATTTTGCCCAGTTTCCCAGACAATATCAATCATAAAAAATAAGAAAACCAAAGCTAAAAAACCCGGCTCAAGGCAATCAAATACTGATCACATAATCTTAGAAAATTTTACTCTTTCCATCTACTTGCTAACTAAGCAAACATTGTATCTGTGAAAATAAATGAAAAAAGTAACTTCGACCGGAATGAGATTATCTTTCAGAACGCACATGATAAATAATTTACTAGGCCTCAGAGAGATCAAATGAGTATTTTCGACGATGAATGTGCCAACTTGACATCATACATAATATAATAGCAAATATTAAAGGTTTTTAGTTACAAGACATCTTTCCAATTTAGGAAGATGATGGAATTGCGGTTGTACAAAGTAAAAACACTACTGTGTCAAATTCGGAAATGCTTTGCATTAAGAAAATAAAAAAGTAGAAGAACCAGCGAAGAAAATGGTTTAAACAAACCATTCGAATCCAACAATATATGCTTATTTAATAAGTTCCAGAATATGCACATCTTTGACTGCTATTCTCCTGAGTTGCAACAACGTCCACTGGAATCAAAGTTTGAATTCAAAAGGCACCATGCGCAAAATGCGCCTAAATATTCACAGGCAGCTGAAAATGCTGGAACCTAGTCAAACTTTTTTGATTCATACTAAAAAATAGAACCTGTTGGGGGGCCCTTCAAAAGGATTCCATTTGGTGAAGAAAATCTACAAAAATTAAGAAAACAGCTCTATCCGAAGGCGCCATAAGACACTCGGCCCACATCTTAAACTTCTCAGAAAAAAATGTTTGGGCCCCTAAGCTTCTTAGCGAGATTCAAATACTGATTGCAATAAAAATTATTCTTTTTTTCTGTTGGATGTTTGGTGTTCTGTTGGATGTGTGCTCAATCATTATAAAGTAATTATTGCAACTGTACAACTACTGTTGTGTGTTAGGTACCGAATTGAGACGTACAGATTCCTTGCGTAGATATTAATTTCATCGATTGAGAAAATCACAAATGTTTCAAGAATGTGACAGCTCATGATCTTACCTGTTGCCCCAGTCAATTTTGGATGTGATCCGTAACTTTAACTCTTTCGTTTGGTCTTGAGTCAAAGTTCCCATTAGAAGTTGACGCCTCCAGTCCAACAATTCCCACATAACTTTCCGTAAGATTGTAAATTTGTAGGTCTCTCGATCCTGAAAAAAGATTCAGCCTAAGATAAGTGAGGAAAACAAGGATCAAGCGCAAGAAGTTCAGACAAAGAAAATTTTTCTTGTTTCTGGATTTACTGATGATAAAATTTTCTATGGAGTGAACAATACGGACGTATTTATGCTAGAAGGAACTATGTGGAAGTGGAAAGATGGGATGTGCTTGTGCAAGCTGCAAACAAAACAAAGTAAAAAAGGATATAGTTCCTTTTGAGAAAATGGAAAAGCAGGATTTCACATTAAATCAAAAGGAACTGAGCGCTAACTCGTGAGCCGTGAACATGTGACAAGAGCGTTGTGGACAAGGCTCATGAGTTAAAGCACTCTGACGACAAGCTTGGCATCGTCGTCGAGCCTGGTTGTCATCGCTGACATCACTGGCAATTCCCATTCATTCTTAGAGCCCTCATCTAACGAGCACACCCCATCTTTGCACTTGCACATAATTCCATGTAGCATAAATACGTCTATACATAAAATCTATTTAAAAAAGTCAGGATTAGTCAGCTCCTTTTGCTTCAACTTAAGCCCATGGAAGGAAAAATGTTGTACAAAGGACAAAGGTACAAGGTCGGTTCAGAAAATTCTGTCTTTTGGACTCTCAGCGCAACTCTATGACGTTCTTGGGTCAGATAAATGTGAAAAACTATTAACAAGGATGCTATAAAGTCACCCTGAACCATAGTCACCAGTGTCTGATAAGCAAGCAGCACAAATGATAACATGCATCCAAGGGCATTTGCATTTTGCGGTTGATATCGGAGTAATCATAGATTCAGCTGCTTTGAGAGACCGATGCAGGAACATCAAGTTTTTCCTTAAGAGCAGGAAAAAAACTCAGCTTATATCTCAGCTCGTTTCCTGGAAGGACAATATATGATGCATTGTCCCCTCTGGATTTCAGCCACAACCTTTGGCACCAATTTCCTGCACACTTTTTGGAACTGAAAACCCTTGGTTAAAATTCTGTGGACTGTGCTAACACTGATATTTAGTTTAACTGCTCAATGTCTTAAACAAATACTCAATGATCTTTAAACACTATTTCTGGCACACGACCCACATTTCGAGGCACATGGGACAAGCAGGGGCGCTAACCTCTTGCTTATCATCACTGACACTTTCTTGATAATGGTTGAGTCACTAAGTCACTGCAGTCCTCCGCGATGAATTATTACTGTATGCTACCTTAAACACATCAAATACTTTCCAATATATTTTCCTACACCTCAGAGGAAATTTGATACTCATGCCAATTTGCCATTTGTCTCTTGATACGGCCAAATCCAAGATCACACAGATTTTGATGGCAGACTGCGACTTCACTTATAAGTATGTTATCATTTGTGAAGCTCACTTACAAGATATCGAGAACAATGGTTCAGGTGGACTGAGTAGCATCCTGGCTAAAAGATTTACTCGTTCATCTGACTCAAACACGACGTTGACTCGCAATAGCAAACTTTTCTGCGAATTTTTGGAGCTGGCCTCATATTTTTTCATCTATCATCAGTTACAGACTCATGTTGAATGTTACGCATACCAACTATCCCACTGGGATGTGTATCATTTTTAAGAAGAAAATACACACATTCTGGTCATTTCATTCTAAAGATATTGAACTTCCTTCTGCCAGCTGTGGCACAAGAAATTTTCATCTAAAGCTACAATAAGTTACAGTAAAGTTATTATCTAAATCTAAGTAAGATATTCTCAGCACCATTTCTCCACCTTGTTACATACAGTTTGGGCCATTTCTTGTTTTGTCTCATTTGTGCGCATAGTTTGGGGATATGTGTTTCCCATTCCCGCGCGGGCAATTAAGTCTAGATGCATTAGCATCTCCAACCAGCCTGATAATAATTTTTTAGGGATTTCTTTGTTTTGTTATGAGAGTTGTTCAGCAGCGACGTAGATGGCGCGAAGATCACACTATTGTGTCATGCCACAGGTCATATTCATGACGGCGTTTCAAGTCGGAGAAATGGTGCTGGGTCCATACCATTTTGCAGGGAAAACAAAACCAAGAAGTTCCAAAAATTATAATTAGAGTCAAAAATCAATTTTTTAACTAGTACAAAACTGAGGGAGAGAGTGTGTTCAGCTCAGGCAGTTTGCATTGGAATATTAAGTTGGGCGCACTGATGAGTGTGATCTACTAACGATGTCTAAAAAGACCCAAACCAGTATAGATTTCTTGGCATGGCCTCAACTTAATATTTCAATGCAAACTGCCTGAGCTGAACACTCTCTCCCCCTCAGTTTTGTACTGGTAATCATCAGATTTAAAAAAATTATTTTTAATTCTAATTATAATTTTTGGAACTTCTTGGCTTTGTTTCCGGAGAAATGTTGTGGACCCGGCACCATTTCTCCGACTTGTTACATACAGTTCGGGCCATTTCTTGTTTTTTCTCATTTCTTAGCTAAAGTGTGATCTAAGTTAAAGTACTGTTAACAAGTAAGTCATCAGATCAGATCTTGACTTCTTTGACCGGTAGGAGTCCCATCAAACGTGAGATAAGTGTGAACCATTCTGCTTTCAGGTAATGTTACTGCCTTTGCAAATGTTTGAATTATACAAAATTCTTACCACATAAGCATTTTTCCAGATGAGATTCCATTCTCGCAGGACTAAGGCAACTTCCCGCACAGCAGGGTCTTCTAAAGGAACTGCAGTTTCAAATAATCTGAAAAGAAAAAGAAAAATAAAAGGATGAAGGATTGACACTGATTTTTGGGACAATTACTTTAGAAAAAGATGCGTCTGATCAAAGACGACTATCTCCGCTAGGCTCCTGGTTTTTGCTTTCTAATAGTTACAATATCAATGTCAAATGATCTTATAAGTCCAATGACTCATAAAAAACTTTCTTTTAGGATTCCAACTGATAAAAATTTTCGGAAATCATGTAACTTATTCTACACCAATCACCATTCAATAATCTTTATCCTCACAAGAATTCTGCTGGGTAAATAGCTTGATGTATACTTCTAACAGCTCAAAATTGGACTCAAGAGCATGTGATCCTCCTACAATTTGTGTGGCCGAGCCCCAATAAAACCATGCTCTTAATGGGGGTTTCTCAAAAATCCCCGCTTGCATAAATAGTTTAAAGGACTCAAACATGTTTTCACTTACATGCACAGAAAATACTACAACTGGGCCTGGTTACGTTTTGGAAATGGTGGTTGAGATAGTTACAGGTTGGACAATCAAATGCTTCTCTCTGCAATTTTATAGAATTCTGTTTCGTCATCTGAATGTTAAGTTTTGTGATTATGGGATATTAGTTTTGGACATTCATTAAATAGAAAACATAATTTTACCGTCAATAATTGAAACACGTTTAGAGAAAAGGAACCAAGCCACATCAGCTATTGCCTTTCAGTGAGCACTTTAATGTTTTACAAGAGAACATTTGAGGCGGATTCCTTTGAAAATTTTAAGGATTTTGCTTGGTACCACGCGAAAAATTCACTGAAATTTACACAAAAATCCGCTTAACCGTTTTCTAATTAAAAATTAAACTGTCCAATTCAATTTTGTAATAGCTGATGTGGCTTGGATCCTTTTACTTTTTGCTTAACTCGGTCCAATTACAGTTTTTTAGTTCTTGGCTGATGTGGTATTTATGACGTGATTAAGTTCTGATGTATACTGAGGTATTTGTCAAATTCTTATTACATAGTTGATTATTTGGAAATGAGAAAATTTAGGGAAGAAAAAAATTATAGTTTCAGAATTTCACCGAGAATCAGAATCCTCGGTGAAGATCTGCGTAGTGCTAGCACTCACCCTTCATTTTCAATCTTGCATGGTTTAACATACACGTAGCTACAAGGGAAGATACCCTTGATGGATCGATTTTTAGTGCAAAAGCCTCGGTACCAGCCTAAAATGATAGGGAAAAAAAAAAAACAAACAAACAAAACAATGTAAATAATTAAGCACGTGGTTTGGGTGGGAAAAAAGGACAAGAACAAGTGCCATGAAAATGGTAACTGCGACTCAAAAAAACCGAAACGAACGGTTAGGAAATGTGTGATCAAGTCCTATTCAGATCAGACAGGCAATGGATTAGATAAGTCAATGGATCAGGCGCCTTGAGCCGATGAACATTGGTTAACTTCGGTGCTACGTATTTTGCATGTCCCAGAAATGAAGGCAAATTTTAGTGTCATGAGCTGAGTGAGATTCAAGTTCCCTTAGCTTTCCTTCGTCAACTTCGGAAAACAACAACAAAGGTGCAAGTCCGAAAACACACGTTAAGAACCTGATGCAGCGTTGCGAATTTTAGCGTCCATTTAATTCCTTTCTGAGAGCACTGAGCTCAAATTAGAATGACCGTATTCGATTCTCTGATAATCCCTCCAGGATGGCAAAAAGTTCTTAGCTTTACCAATTTGCTAACTCCTTCTCTTCGATTATTTGTGAGGTGGCGGTTGTTCCCTTTTTGTTTCTCCTTTTCTCCTCTTCCTGGACGATTTTTTGGAAAACTGGGCTTTTATGCTGACGCGGGCCAGTTCCCTCAATGGCAAGGCGTCTTTTCGCGGCCTTCCCGTTTCGAAAACCACTTCTCGGGGAACTCTCATTTTCATATGCGGTCAATCTTGACCCGAGTCATGCGGCCGAGCATACATCTGTTAAACCGGTAGTCAAATAGTTGTATGTTACGCCTCCCATAAAAGAACTCAAATACCGATGCTTCGTTCCACTTGAAATGGAGCTTATTTACCTCGATTGCAACGTTGAAAACCACATTTAATGGTGAAGAGTCAAGACATCTTCGCAGTTTGAAACGCCTTCAATCCGGCGGAGCTGCAACATGCGTACACCCGTGGTCGAATAGTCGTATGTTACGCCTGCCGTAAACGAACTCAAATATCGATGGTTCATTCCACGCGGAATGGAGCTTATTTACCTCGATTGCAACGTTGCAAGCCACATTTAATGCTTCAATTTCGATCAATATTTTTTAAAAGATACGCTGAAAAATTAACAATAATTTTACGAACGATTATAATTAAAATCACGGGAAATTTCGTCGCGATATTTCATTTAGTCCTATTTTCCTTTTTTTCTTTTCACCGAAAAAAAACCACGGTCCCTGATTCTAAATCGTAGCTATTAGGATAGTTACTTTTGTTCTTTATGCTGAAAATTAGAAGGGAGTCATAAATAATGACGCGTTGTCTGAGTGTCGCAGCGATTTTAGCGTTCGTCCCGCTCGCGAGGGTCGGCAGGGCGGTGAACAGTCAAGACATCTTCGCAGTTTGAAACGCCTTCAATCCGGCGGAGCTGCAACATGCTTACACGTACATCGATGGCCAAAGTTCGAAACCACGTGCCTCCATTACGATGTTTCAAAATCTCCGCTCAAATTTAACTTTTCCAAATAAAAACGAGCCAACTTCATAACTTGAAAATGCAGAATATATTCCGCCAACAGAGAAGACATATCCAGGAAGTTTTCAAGAAATTACGTTGACTAGTTTCCAAAAGATAAAACTAAAGCAAGACAGGAAGTTTACAACTTCACAAACGGAGATACGTGGTTTCAAACTTCAAACATCGAGGTTTCTGCATCGCTGCTGATCCGACTCTTAACTCTCAGTGTGTTAGGTATAACTTCAAATATAAATTAGAACTTTTACGAAATTTGTTTTATCTCATCTATCAAGTACAGAAACCGAATAGACAGAAAAGCTAAGAAAATTAATATAATTAGTGGTCAAATTGTTTTAATCGAGGTGAATGTAGAACGACTGACACGAAACAACATCTTACCCATGCATTCTTCCAAAATTTGAACGGTGTCTCCGATTTCCAAGGAGAGTCCGTACCGGGTATCGCAGCCATTCCAGTTGTATATGGCTGTAAAAAAGAAGAAGAAAAAGACAAAGTGAGTTAATCAGTCGTATTTCGTTCGGAGGCAACACTCGCAACATGTTGTGTAAACAAACAACAATAGCATTTTGTTCGAAGTTGTTTTGTGTTGTGGGGGCGGGGCTTATTTTTGCGCGCAAAATCTCTGTTCTACCCTCTACCGTGCTAAGTAAGAACGCCATATAATCCGCCAGGCGTTGCCACATTTAGTTTCGTAAAACACGAATTAACTGAACGAATTATGAGTATTTTTCCTCAGATTGTTCAGATAATTCGATTCGCAATTCAATCTAAAATATCTGAAAATTTCAAGGAAAAATATACATAACATTTCTCAAAAGTACATGTTTTAACCGGAGAATTTCGGCAACTCTCGAACGCTTGTAAGTCGGAGTTGCGCTTGAAACACTTGAAAGATCTTTGGGCAGGGAGAGAGAAGAGTTGCATTGCGCTGGAGAAAATAAGGAAAGTTTTCAACGAACTCTGTGGCATTCGGAGGATTGAAAAATTCAGCGTCAACTTTCATCGAAATCCAAACTAACCAGGTTTGAATCGAGCTGTGCTCGACATTGTTGTCGGTTACTAGTGGCATACCAACCTACCAGGGTCAGGGATTCTAGCAATTAAAAAAAAAAAATGCGTGACATTTCCCTGATTTCCCTGATAAAAATGGCCAAGAAACCGAGAAAAAATTCAAAATTTTCTACCAGACGGAAAAAAAATTGCCTGACACATCCCAGACAAAAAGGAAAAATATTCTCAATTTTTTGACACAGTTGACCTGATTGGTTGTAGCTAATTTTTTTTCATGTTTTTAGGAATAAATAAAGGAAAATGTATGGTACCTAAACTAGAGCGAAATGTTTTCCCATCCAGGGGCGTAGCTAGGAAATTTCTCTGGGGAGGGCCATGGGACCACTTCTCGTGGTAAAGAGAGCGGGGGGGTGAGGAATGGAGGATCCCGTTTTTCTGGGGGGGGGGCCACGAGATTTCTGGGGGGGCCAGCCTCCCCCCCCCAGGACTCCCCTAGCTACGCCCATGTTCCCATCATTTATAAAATTTAAAAGACATCAGCAGAAATTCTGGTGGAAATTTTGGAAGAAATCTCCGCGAGAGTAAAATTCGCGAAACGTTTTTCGAAAAACCCGTATTTTTCAATTTCTCTGACGTTTTTCTGCCACGAATATCGCTTGCAAATCATCATTCCCTGACATGCCGTATTCTTGCGGATTTTCTGACGTTTTCCGTGACATTTCCTGGTTCCCCGGTCGTTATAGACATCCAGAATACGGCCGCCTAAAAGCCCTCAAACTACTGGGAGAGAATTCTACTTAAATCGTCGCTGAATGTTCATCCTCAAGTAATTTGAGAGTTACAAATAATGCGAAAAAAAGTTCAAAAAATGGGGAAAAAGTATGTTTTATCACATTTCTGGGCGGTTTCTCATCAAACTACCCCTCAACCCTATTCAACTAAGTTGGGAAGGGGAGACGATTGAAAAGGGAATTGAGATAGAAAAAGCTGACATACTTTAAAAAAAGGGGCAGGCATCACTGTGAAATTATACATCCGAAATGTGCGAGAAAGTGTGTACAAACGGGTGTTTTATGGCCGTTTTTGGGAGGTTTTTCATCGAGTTGCCCCTTCGCCTCCTTCTATTAACCACAACTTTTAAGTATCTACATTATCCTAACATGAAGACAGATCATTCACGGAGTAAACATGGATTACATTTTGCAATAAGGAACCACTATTTCTGGCCCATTTTAGAAACAGCATACGTGCCATTGGTTTCCCTATGCAGATTATGTGCTTTTATGGGAGAGCTAGAGACAGTGGTTCCTTACTGCAAAATGAAATCCATATGTTGGTTACGCGCTGATTGCAACAATTCGTCGTTTCCTGGGCATAGAAACGTAACTTCATTCTAAGGTTGCAAAATTGATTTAAACTACTTTAGTTTTTTTTTTTTTTTTTTTTTTTTTTTTTTTTTTTTTTTTTTTTTTTTTTTTACAAAAGTGCACTCAAGCAATTTTTTTCAAAAAGTCTGATTTTCGCATGAGATCAGAAGAAAAATCAGTGATATTATCAGTTCAAAAAGAAAATCTGCGACGGAAATTTAGCAAAATTGAAGTGTAGTTACGTTTTTCCGTGGGGCAAACGATGAATTATGTTGAGAATCGGTGGTGCCATCATGTTTCTTGCATTTACAGGAGCAAACGCAAGAGCTCCGCCTTAGCAAGTATTCAGGGTTGCCACAGAATTCAGAGAATGAAATTCCCTAACACTTGAAGATGTGACGGATGGTTAAGAAGGCATGATTGAAAATAGTTTTTAGGCAAAATTTGTTGTTCGAAACCTCAAACCCATTCTGGAAGGCAAATGAAGGCGATTTAACAAATTTTCCCCGACATTTTCGTCATCTTCCCTGACATTTCCCGGTTTTCCATGACTGCGGCAACCCTGAAATTCAAGAGCTCCGCCCGAGCAAGTGTTTGGTGGAATTCGAAAGAGCTTGGAATAAAATGAAAATTTGTCCAAAGTCGACGAATATGAGTCAAGAACATAGATCGAGTATCTTATCGAGCGATGACTGACATCTCTCTCTCGCTGCGGCGATGATAGCCGTGGAGGCGCCGTGATTTCCTGTCATCGGGGCCCAGCTTTAAGTGGAGGAAGGCAGTTTTGCCTAATTGACAAACAACGAAAGTGTCATTAGTTTTCTTGTGCAGATAGGTGATTTTATAGATGAGCCAAAATTTGTAGCTCTTAATCAGCGAGTCGATTGTTGAATTGTTATCGAATGAGCTTAATCGATAAATCCCTATCTTGGCAATGCTATATATCGATCAAGGTCATTCGATAATTGAATCGTTATCGAATGAGCTTGATCGATTTATCCCTATCTTGGCAATGCTATATATCGATCAAAGTCATTCGATGTCGATTCAACAATCGACTCGGGGATTGTCCGAAACAAATATTCAATTTATACGGAGTACCCTAGATGGTGGAGAAATTGCGATAACCGTTCTTTCAACGTGCATCGAGACATCACTCTCTGCGACGACAAGAACAGGTCCGTGGAGGGAGTCTAATTCGAGGCAATTTTTACTTTTTTCCTTCGATACAAAGCTGCTCAATTTCACTCCAAAATACATTCCACGCAGCAACAAAAAATTAGAAATCAACTCCTTTGCTATACATGGACACTTGAGATTAGCATGTATTAACAGAGAAAAAAAACCGAGTGGAATCAACGGTCATACTTCAGACGAGAGGAATACCCGGGTCAATTTCACCTATTTTTTTAAAACGGTGTGTATTCTAAACTTCTGAACTGGGCGGATATGCCCCTCCATGGTGTCTAGTTTTCTCGGCAAAGCTCATTCCCTGATTTTTCCCTGATTTTCAGGAGCTCATTCTCTGATGAGAAACCGAAGTTTTCACCTACTTTCCCGGGATTTTCTTGGGGAAAAGAATATAATTTTCCAGAGTTTCAGATATGAATATAGATTTTAATTCATCTTACCGCCACTTCTTTGGCGCACATGATTGGAGAAGAGATTCCCGGTTTCTGGAACAGATTCCCTGATTTTTCCGGTAAATTTTCATTCCCTGATGAATCCCGGTTTTTAAAAAAACTAGAAACCATGCCCTTGACCGCCACGTGGCCCAGCCGTTTGAGGGCACAATGGACCACTAGACAAGGTACGAATTTAAGCGATCTGATACATGTTTCTTGACCCGAATTTCACGTAGAAAACGATTCACACAACGAAAATTACGGAAACCAACTCCTAACGAAGATATTAACGTTTTTATTTCACATTGGTTACGAGGAATTTGAACTGCCCGCTCACAAGAAACTCATAACTCTACGTGAGTCAAATCGCCCACTACAACGGTTTCAGCAAGCTTCTCAATCGAGCAATGTTCATTTCCCATCATGTGTTGTTAGAACTATTAGCAATTTGATATAACTGAGCCAAAGCGTCAAGATTGAGGTTGCCAGATTTTCATATCGCAGAGACTGTCATGATAACGTTTAGCGCGCGATGTGAATCACGTAGACCATTGAGTTTTCATGAGCGGGTGGTTTGAATTCACGCATTAAGAATCATTAAATACCTTCGTAAGGAGTTAATTTCGGTAATTTTCGTTGTGTGCATCGTGTTTTACGTAAAATTTTGGATAAGAAACATGTATCAGAATGCTGAAATTCGTACCTTATCTAGAGGTCCATTGGGCTCATCGAGAAATCATTTGTTGCTGATAGCCGCAAAAATTATGAAAATCGGTCCGGTGGAACAAAGAGCGAACTATGACAAACATCAAGCATTTAATTTTTTAGCGCTATACTGCCGTGCAACGCAAAAACGCCGTAAATGCTAATTTATATTTTTTGGAAACAACGCATCATAGCTGAAAAACTTGTCTTGGGACAATGTTTTTACCAAAGTCTTTTGCAAAAACTATCAAGAACTTAAATTAAAAAATTGAGGTGCATGGTTAAAACAGTTTTTATGTTATAAAGTGTTAAGTTCCAAAAAACGAGGAAAAATCTTGATGGATTTACGGCGTTCTTGCTTGGCATGGCGTTAGAGGTGCTTGAGCGTTACGCTCATGAAGTTTATGCTTTTATGATACATAGTAAAATACGATTCGCAACGGATGGACCACTAGACCACGCACGTTGTTAAGCATTCTGATACACGTTTCTTGACCAGGATTTTACGTAGAACATGATTCACGCATCGAATATTACTGAACTCAACTCTTAAGTAGAATATGAACGTTTTTATTTTACATTGGTTACGGGACATTTGAACTGCCCGGTCACAAGATACGCAATATTCTACGCGAGTCCAATCGCGTAATACAACAGTTTTGGCAGACTTCTTTATCAAGCAATGTTCAATTCCCACCCTGTGTTGTTCAAACTATAAACAATTTGCTATAGCTGAGCCAAAACGTCAAGATTGAGG